AGGAATGGTTATCCCAATTTGGAATGTAATTCATCCAATAGTTGTTGAGCTGTTTTACTCTGAACCAAAAATATTGACCTGACGGTGGCACAAATACAAAAAAAAAGGTGGGTATAGGCTCCGTCCTCATGGGACCATGAATGTGTGTGTAAAATCTGTTTACATAGTTAAGATATTTTTGTCTGGACCAAATGTGATGGGCCGAACGAATGACATTGCCGTCCCTTGAACCACACCACTAAAAATGTCTTAATTAATGTCAATTGTCTTTAATGAGCAAACAAATAGTAAGATTAATCTAATACTATTATGGCTCCATTTTGTTCATTTGAAGCTTTGTCTTCAACTCCTCATCGTAAATTACTAGATGACTGAAAATAATACATTGACTATATTCTATTTAAACAGATAAAAGAAAAAAAAACACAATATCAAAGGTATATAATATACCAAAAAACTGTGGCTTTAACTTTCCAGCTATTTTGCTGTCAAAGTATCCCAAATAGCTGAAAAACTGTGGTGCTGGAGGGAAAACAATAAGACAAAGTGCAGCTTTCAGCCATCGCAAACAAAAGAAACACAAATTCTGGACTGGTGTCACCTAACAGTTTGCCTCCAGCCAAAATGTAAATAGAGCCATGCTTTACTTCTGTCCACTTCTGTGTTCATCTGCAAATGTGAATGTGTCCTTGTGTGCACATGTGTGTAAGTTGACCTCAGTTCATGTTTGCCCCCAAACAGATTCCCTCTCCGACACAGCTAGGACACAGGAAGCAGTGACAATCAGGAATCTGGGACTTGATGCTGCTATATATAAAAATGAGATCAGGCCTCTTGTAAAAGTAGATAGTGCGACAGTCTTGGAAAAATTGAATTATGTAGATAATGATGCACTCGTTCAACTCTATTATCTGTCGGTGCTCAGCTGGAATGGAGAGAAACTGGAGCCCGGAGAGACTGAAACAGCAGGGCCAAACTCAGCTATGTAGAGTATCTGCAAGTGAACTGAAACATTCACAAATTCATAAGATGACGCCCCACAAGATGACATTTGGCACAAAATCAAAACAATAATTGCAGAAGCCCTTAAAGATCCGCTGAGTGACGATGGCCCTCAGATTTGGTCAACTCCGTTTGAAGTCATTTATCTTCAGAAATTCAACTCTTCTGCTGTCTTACGAGTGTATTATCCGACTCTTGGAGGCTTCACCAGAGTAAAGTGATTCCTCTCTGACATGTTTTTGGTCAGCACGAGTATCTTTAGTCTGGCCCTCGGGCTGATTATAGGTTTGGAGGACTGGGGCAGCTTTAGCTCCTCGTGCTGTCTCCTGGATGGATTCCTTTGATGATGGCTTGTTGAAAAGGCTGGCATGTTAAAATAAGAAGCTCAAAGTCCCATTCAAACATGAGCCCTGGGGGGAAAACAAAGTATAATGTCACCAGAGAAATTTTGAAATATGAGTCACTAATATATCTGTTCAAAATAGCTGAAGGGTGTGTGTGTTTGTGTGTGTGTGAGAGAAAGTGACAGTTAAGAAGAGTGTAGGAGAGATGTAAAGACATGGAGCTTCCCTTCAGCGCTCTCACTGGCTTGTTCGATTTGCCCCGTTCACTTTAAAGCAGCACGTGGTCTAAATTGTATTACTGTAAACTGCATCATACCGTTAAGTGCAGTTCGTCTCTGTGGAGAGAACGTTAGTCTGCACCGCGGCGTACATTTATTTACTTGGGTAAGACGAAACATCCGGCCTCATTCAGCCCTGACAGTTTAGATTCACAGAACATGCAGTTTTGTGTGTGTGTCATCATGGCGAAATGTGATCCTGGAGACACCTACTGAAAGGACTACCACAGAGGCAGTTTTGAGTACTTTAACAGGTGTTTATGTGGTGCCACCTTGCCCACCTGACCTGCTCTTCATCCTGAGCCCCTCAGAAGATAGGTGTGGTCCGCGTAAGGGGGCCGGAAGTAGGGGGCGGGGTAGGAAGTGGGGAAGCGCCATTGGCTGCCAATTGGCTTTAGTGCCCGTGGCCTGATTTTGTGTCGCAGCTGGTGTGATCCCAACAAGATCATCTCTAGTTTAAGGGTGTCATCAGAAGTTTCATATGATCATGTAATAACTGTCTGTGAAATTTTTGTTTTACAAAACTCTGTTATATGCATTTGATTTAATTATTTATATGTGCACCTGTGAGTCTGCATGTGTGACAAATAGCAGACACACTTTTTATACAGGAAAACTTATTTAACTTATCGATAAATCCACGAATCATATCAGACCTGACATCTAATTCCGACTTTGGTTGTAAGTGTTTCTAGGTCCGACCCGGTACAATTGCCATTGTGACTGTTGCTTAAAAGTGACTCGGATGTTTATTCAGACACAAGAACATGCCAAATTTCCGGTAGATGTCTCAAAGGGGTTGTAGAGACATAGAACAACAATATACTGTGCAGCCAAGTACTTCTAAAGTAGCAATAGAATGTAAGAGAAAAAAGTTAAGACAATGTAAAGAATTAAAAAAATGTATGCAGGAGTAAATCCTAAATAATCACTGGGTGTTGTTGAGATGTTTCATAATGCTGAATATGCATTCAGGGGAAAAGTGGTATTTCTTAGCCAGCGACTGAGTTCCAGTAAAGTTTTGGACATGGTTACTAATACTTTAGATTATAGTCATCTGTTATCAGTTATCAGCATTAGATGACCGGATGAGGTCATGGATCTGGGGGGCTGATGGAGCCCTTAACTTTATGTCTTTGGAGGAGGGGTGGTGTCTGCAGGGCCGCGGTGGGGACAGCCGGTGTTGGCGCGGCCTGAAAGGAGCCGTTGTCCTGCTGCATGTGCCAAGTGGTGTCAACCCGCCACTGGCTTTCACAGCACGCTTCACAGTGGAGGTCGTGGCGAGTGGACCAGGAATACATTAGGAAAAGCTGTTCAAACATATGGCGTCTTTTTGAGATGCAACTGATGCTTTGATTGATTTTGCGTAGCACTGTTTTATTATTAATCATATTTTAAAAACTGAATAATTCAAGTTATGGTTTCTTTTAATCATTTAACCTATTTTTTTTCTTTTCTTAAGAAGTTCCCTTCCTCACTTAAGAGTGCACCTAAACCGCATTGACGGTAGAGTTTTATTCACTTTCTTGATCTCAGTGTTTCTGTCAGATGATAAATCTGAAGTGGTGACTAGTCTGGTTCTCAGACATTTTGGTCACTTTGATGTTCTTTCCCACTCGCTTACATCCACATTTATAGTCAGGCAGTACCTCTGTGGTTAGAAACCTCCTCTCTGTGAGGCAGATGTCCTGGAATGCACAGCTGTTTTACAGTATTTTCTACAGTTTAAAGATAAAATGATGGCTTGTTATCCATCATGAGCTTCACAGCAAAGGATACATGTCCACAGCCTCCACCATATAGAAAACCTGCACACCACAATCTTCATTCATCCACCACATATACAGTGTTTGACTTTTTGACCTGTGCATTAAGTTTCAAATCCTTTCATTTTGTAATAACTACGTTTTTCAAAAAAAAATCTAAGTAAGGTAAATTTAATGATTTGGAATTGGCAGTAGCTCTTGAGTCCACTTGTATTGAAGAAGTTACTTGAAGAGGCAACTTCCTGTTTCTGATGATATTCTTTGAGTAAAACATGTTTCTGTCATTGTGTCGTCATTTCAAATATCAGGATGTTGCACAAACAATACTATGAATCTTAATTGTACTTGCATTGTGTATGTAAAACTGTAATAGTGCAATTTCTCTGAAGCGGCCTTCTATTATAGTGGTGTGTCAAATTTGGAGCATAGATTTTGTTCTATAGATTTTCTCTCTTTCCTCTCCAGGCCTCCGCCCAGTGACTGTCACCAACCATGAGCGGTGGAGTGAACATCAAAGTCATATCTCAGAGTCAGAGCGACGCAGGTGTCAGCTCGAGTCTGCCTCTACCTCGAAGCATGATGCCTCTCTCCAAGGTGGATCCTAAACAACAATACGGCGGCACCCCCAAACCCACGACGCAGTATCAACATGCAACCAAACGACAGCCTTCCTACTCTTCATCTGCTGTGTCCTCGGGTCCTGCAGAGCTGCTGAGAGGTGCAGCTTTAAAGAACCACCTGCTGCAGCAACAAGCCGGCACGTATTCTCATAGAAGCCCATCAGCTACTGAGCGAACTGATGGAACCTGCTCGGCGTACAGCAGCCCTCAGATCCGAAAGAGGGAAGTCCGACGCTCTAAAGACACGCTGGACCTCCGGGCCAGCACGCTGACCCAGACGGCTTTGCGGGACCTCCAGTTCAGACGAACCACCAACAAAAACTGGACCTTTGGAAAATACCGTCTGAAGAGCGTGGACAACGCAGCCGAGGGTGACGCCTTGTGCCGGCTCTCTGCTAATGTCCAGTCAGGACACGGAAGAGGACGTCTCTTTTATACTAAAGGTGCAAATGGGAATGAGATACCGGGGGTGTCTTCAGCTGGAATGGGCGATATCCAAAAAGAGGTGAGGAATATCTCCTACCAGCACATGGGAGCTTCAGAAAGAGGCGTGACCAGTGGCAAATCAAAGTCTTCTCATCACACTTTCAACATGCCACGCAGAGGGAGTGAGCCAGGAAAAGTCAACATGGCCGCTGTTGCCCCCTTTACGTTCAGGTGAGGGCAGTGTTTCACCCATTTAAGATGGGAAGATAAGCAGCATTGCAGAGTTTATTTTTAGGACACATTTCGAATATGATGCAGCCGTAGGGCATCTCATGTTGTCTCTTGGAAATCGTCATCTTTGTTTAATAAGAAAAAAAAAGAGTATTTTCTACTTTTAGTAGCACTTCATCAAAATTGAATCTGTGTTTTGCATGTTTCTTTCTTTTCCTGCAGGTTTCAGGTCCATGAGGACACAGATCCAGCCCTCGATGATCTTAGTGACTGTTCCTCTGACTCCATGGAGGTCTGCTGTGACGAGCTAGGTGAGTCTCTTTCAATCTTCTCCCACTGATGTTTCCATCCTGGGAATGTAGACACACATGATGCTCTTAACCAGTGGTTCCTGGGCGTCCCGACTAATTCAAAAGGGTCGCAAGATGATGGAATGGATATGTAAGGAAAACATATTCCTGTGTTTTTTAAAAATCTGTTCTTTTCTCATGAAATACCGAAAACTCTTCTTCAGTCCTCTAGAAATTATTCAAATGAACGGCAACGACCCCGGCTGATTGCACCAGATTACCCATCTCTATTTCTCCTTGTTTCATGTCATTTCTTGCCCGTTTACTATCGCAATAAGGCATATGATTCCCCCCAAAAATACATAGAAGACTTAACCTCAGCTCAGACATATGCAGCAAGTGACAAGAGGTTGCAAGCCAAAAATGTTGGGAACCACTGCAATAAACCAATAAACACAAAACTCTGATGCTCAATAATGAAAACAGGATGATATCTGATATCATCCAGGATTTTATAAAGAGCAGGCTGTCCATGAAGTTTAATCACTTTATTGGCTTACAATTGAATTCAGCCTCTGTTTTTATGACGTACTCGTCTTTCACTGTAGTGTCAGAACAAGTTTACTTAAATCTTGCAAAAAATCTAACTTTTTCACTCAGTTCACAGCATTCAATCACTTTTATTTTGTAAAACTCTGTTTTTCCAATTGTGTAATGTGGCATCCTGTAACACCCAAGCTTTAATATGGCTGAATGTTGACACTGGAATCTGTTCAGCATGGCAGTTGTTCTCACCAGGGCTGCTGCCAACTCGTCATGCTGTATGTACCACCTGTTATGTGCATCAGGATTTCCTGAACTGCTTCATTTCTTTCTTTATGTGCGTGTGGGAAAACAGATTCTTGGCAGAGATCACGTCTCTCAAATCACACAGCACTGCTAATGCGGCACTGTTTCCTCAGTGTTTTTTGTCTCTTGTGAGCCATCCTGATTATATTCACGTCATTTCTGTCGGTGCTGTGTTAAACATTACAAGTTAAGTGTTTTGTTCTGATGCCATGTTGCTTAGAGACTGACATACAAACATGACGTGCGTACACAAACGCACACTATATTTTGCTTGGTCAATATTTCATTATTTTAAGGAACTGGGAATACCTTGCTGATTGATGGCAATTCACCATCAGCAGATATAACCACAACTACTCAATCAATTAGTTCCAATTAGAGAGAGATTACATAACTAAAGATCTACTCTAAATAAGTGATATTGATTTAAGTAAGCAGACGCTATTGACTCAGGGGTAACAGCTGTGACCACAAGACAGAATTAATACTTAAACCTGTTTGTTGTTTGAGTTCACATTCGCTATAGAACTAGCCAGCTAAGGCTGCGACCGACGGAACACTTTTCTTAGTGACATTGATTTGACTGGCTAGCTAGCTTGTCTTATTGTAAAACATACCGTCTTAAGTAAGTTTTATTTTCCGTTTGTCAAACGTACGCAATGTTCAATGTTTGAATCTTGCTAACAAGGCTTTCCGGCTTGTAGCTGAAATGTTCTGTGAGCTGAGTGGATTAGAAATATCTCCCATTGCCAGGTTGTGTCTAAAGTTTGCTTGAAACTTCACTCGAAAATGTGCTCGAACAGCGAACAACGTTCACATTACAAAAGAGCCTTATGGGATGGTCATGATTGTTCAAACCCTCAGATATTACGGACTTGTGTCTTGTAAAAAAACTTTACATTTTGATTGTAAAATGCATGGAAATATGAACTTGTGGTCTTAGTTTTATTTCTTTGGCCAGTGACCATGGTATAAACGGAATAATGCCCTTCGAGGTGTTCATAATCAGGAATTGATGGACTCCACGGAGGCAGCAGAAGCAAGAACATGGCCTTCCCATCGTCCATTTATTTCTGATAATGGACCCACTTTGGGCATTATCCCAGCAGCATTATGTTCAAAGCCTAAATTACTTGGCTGCATCACTTTACAAGTCATTTTGGTTACAATGTCTGATATATTTGTCGCTCCTGATCACCCAACATGCAGACGTTTGAGAAACGACCTCATGTAATTGCACCAGGGCTATTATAAACCCCTCTAACTGTGTTCTTAATTACCATAATGACTTAGAGGGGTGAGAGCCTAGCCAGCCTCCTCAGGGAGAGACGAGACAAGAGACAGAGCGGCCCTCAGCTGAGGGTGGACAGATGCAGGACTGGGAGATCGAGTGAGGGGTTTGATGGGAGGATCGGCTTTCACCTCCTGTCTGGGAGTTCCTCTTGTCCCCGCTGGACGCACCCGAGGGACACTTAAATTCAGTTTTTGACCATAGAGCAGAGAGATGTGTCTTTGTAAGCTGTCATCCAGCTTCAACTACAAGTTAGCTGGAAGATAAAAAATAGGGTTGTTTAATGATGGTTCCATTCAGTAGGAAACATCTGCAGAAACTAGGGCTCTGTTAGGATCTCTGGTGAGAAATTTTACTTTAAAATGACTAAAGTTTCACAGAAGGGAGGATTCACCTCTCAAGGATGCGTACGAAACAGCCAATTAATCACTCAAATGTTTAAACAAGATGGTTTTACCTCTTCTATCACTTCCAGCAGCTTGAGTTCATCATGAAGGGATTATTTGCTCAGCACATGAAGACACTCTCATAACTGTTCAGGTCAGTCTTCATCCCTCAGGCTGCTCGCATTCCTGCAACACAATGAGTCTATTAGATCTCTATCGAGGGGCTTTTGTATAGCAATAATTACCACATGACTTCAACATCATCCACAAACACAATCTTCACACATGCCTGTAACACCATGCTTCGGCCTACATTGATGTTCTCCGGGGTTTTCCCCTTTGAGCACATGTGGAGGTTCTTGAATCTGTTGCTGTATAGCAGCAGCTGAGCAGCCCCAAAATGATCACATGTGCTGTCCAGGGAAATATATAATACACAGCTGTGTAACTGTGATGTCATACCATGCACACACACACACACACACACACACACACACACACACACACACACACACACACACACACACACACACACACATAATTACTCAGCTGGCCAGTTGGAGAGTTGGAATCAGACCCAGATGTGAAAGAGACCAACTGAAAGATGCAGCTCCACCCTTCCTCTCTCCTTAGACATGGTGGCGATTTGAGAGTTTTTACATTTTTATCTCCAGGACATTTTACTCAAAACTGTCAAATGTCAGCCCAAACGCTTCTAGCAAGGAGTCAGAACTTAGGAGGGATTTAGGAAACTCCTCAGAACAAGAAAGTAACAGAAAGCTTTCCCTAATGAGGAGGTGTGTGGCTCAGCGGTCAGGTTTGCAGTAAATATGGCATTTCGGAATTAGTTATCTTATGATTCATCAAGAAACCTTATTCCACAAAATAATTAAGCTATTCAATGCATCGTGGGAGTAAGGTCACAGTCTGCATGTGCTGGAGTCAGCAGGGGAGCCTTGGAGCTCGTGATGAGGAGGAACAAGACATGCCATTGTTTCCAGAAACTAATTGCCAGATCAAACCACCTCACTGGTCCATGAGCCGCCCCAGGTGCCCTGAAACCCAAATAAAAATAAAAAAACGCATTGGAGTGTGGTGCAAACCCATTGTAAGTGTCAGAGCGGGAACCTCTGGGCATTGTCGCTAACAGGTCAATCATATCCGGTGGTTCAGCCATCTAGCATGCTTGTAATCAGCCATGCTGTGTTGTGGAAGAGAGCAACTCATTCACCTAATAGGAACTAAAAAAAAAATTTCTATTCACCAGTGTTGTATTCGGATTATTTAATGAAGACATTTTATTTGATGAGCACATAACAACATGGGGGTTGTATCACAGTAGTTTATGGAGAAGGTTCATGTTTTTTCGGCGGCTGTGTTTTAGCAGAGCGCCGAGGTCTGCTGCAGATGACATGCGGGCGGAGAGAGAGGGTGGTTTCCATGGAGCAGCGCTGCATGCGACCGCTGCAGAGCCTCCTTGAGCCTCCTGAGAGACGGCCCTCGGGAATATCTTAAAATTATGATTCCACTCATATGTTAGCAAAAGAAAACATGGCCAAAAATTATGTGACAGGATTTTCAATCAACCAAAATCCTGTGTGTGTGTGTGTGTGTCACACTGTCTTGAAGATATTTCCAAAGTGTGGTTTTGGGTGTGTTTCTTGCTTACACTGGCACATCTTGTTGCTCGCTCAGTCTGCTGAAGTGAAGTCACTCATTTGGCCGATACACTTTTTGGATTTCAAGCCAGGTTTTCTTTTTAGTTTTCAATAACACTATATGTACATTAGCCTTTAACATCCATGTCATCATTGTGAAGAGTACAGTTCTCCATATAAAGCGTACAGCACTGCTGATTCTTACCATTCGATTTATCCATCTGTTAATCTGGAATTGATACCGTAAGGAAGCTCAGACAGGATCAAGAGATAATCTGGATGCTCCAGTTGTTTCATGTGGGATTTTGACAGTGATAATGATTTCTGCCATAGCCTGGAATTACAAATCTGAATGTGCATCCATTCACATTAATGACGCGTCCACTAACATCACAAATCATGCATCATGTTGAATGTATTGAACAGGGTGCACTGTAGGTGATGGAGGGGGAGGGGAAGAACAAAGGAATCAGAGGAGATGGTGGGAAAACATGGTGCGTTAGAGGAGAATGGCGCCTGGTTTTTAAATACATAGATGATCATTTCTCATCGCTCGCTTGCATTTCGCATATTCTGCTGAGACACAGCAAAGCATCTTTTAAATGAAGGAAAAAAAACAAGGGAAGGAGGAGGCATGATGGGAGGGAGGGAAGTGGGAGGCGAGGCAGAGGTAGCAGAGAGCAGGGGGAGGAGGGAGCGTTGATGCGTCTGCTGTCGCTGTCATTCCGCTGCTGCGCGGCTCAGCGGCAGGAGAGTGTGCTGGAGGGAGGAGGGTGGAAAAAATCGGAGGAAAGGAGGACAGGAGGGAAGGAGAGAAAGGGAGTGCCTGGGCAGCACTGCAACAGCTGCAACTGCAGCAGCCTGTAAGGAGGAAAAAGAGGGAGAGAAGGAGACGGAGGGAAGAAAGAGAAGGCTGCAGGACTGCCTTAGAGGAAGCATTTTTATGTATGTTTTTGCACAAGGAAAAGGGTTTGATACGGAAGCCAGTTTTCTCCCTCGCTGATGCTTTTCTACATGGTCTCATGCAGGAGGCATGCTTGGAAATAGTGTGAAAGGCAGAGAAGGAGACTTGAAGATGGAAAGGACGGATAGCACAAAGGCATACGGCCAAGCAGATGGCAAAGGAGTTGGTATGGCAGCCAAGAGGGCAAAGTCTGGAGTGCCCCAGAGCACACAGAGGGGTGAACTGAAGGTTTACCGGGCGGGTAGCTCTGAGGGCAGGCTACCAGTGTCCTCCAATCTCCGCAAGCAGAGGTCCATGACAAATCTGGCTGTACTCACTGACGCCGAGAAGAAGTTGCACCTTTATGAGCCCAAGTGGTGTGATGACATGGCCAAGCCTGGAGCAGGGCAGTCCAAGATGGGCAAGCCAAAGACAGCAGGGGTTGGCAGCAGTGCCGGAGGTTGTGCCCCTCTTTCTCGAAACCTATCCAAATCGGAACACTCGCTGTTCCAGGGCAAGCCCATGCCCTTCAGCCCCCTGGCTGCTCCATCTCCTCTGAGCAAGCTGAGTCGCATACCTCGTGCTCCTTACGCTGAGGTGAAGCCCATGAGCAAGGCGGCGCCCGAGGACGGGAAGTCGGATGACGAGATCCTCTCCAGCAAGGCGAAGGCCAACGCTAAGAAGCAGGGAGCCGGACCCGGAGGGGAGTCCGGTTCCAAGGGCCAAGGGGAGGAAGGGGGAGACAAGGCTTTCCTGAAGGTGGACCCAGAACTGGTGGTGACGGTGCTGGGCGACCTGGAGCAGCTGCTCTTCAGTCAGATGTTGGGTGAGTACGGCAGAGCAGTCTTGATACCTGTACAACCCCAGGGCCCCCGACAGTATGTGTGGCGACCATGTGCTACAAACCAAATGCCCCGCTTGTAAGATCTCTCAGTGCTTCTCGGCAGCACGCCCCCTTCGATGCAGCCGCCACACGGCACCTGCTTGCTCCTCCAGACCCACACCACCCTAGAGCGGATTTAATGCAGTTCGACGACGAAGAAGAAGATATCCTTGTTGTGCTTGCAAAGCATGCTCCCCTTTATATTATTTCATTGAATGCTACATCAGTTTGGCTTCCTATCAACCATTCAGCTTTACGTAAAAATGCCAAAGCTATAGTGATGCTCTATTGTTCTTATTCCTCCAGCATGTCGTTTAGGTGTCTGAGGCCGTTGATGTGAAACACGCTTGCTTTATATCATAGCGTTGCTGGCTGAATGCATGAAAAAAGCCTGAGGGGTTTCGGGATTATTACCAGCGAACTGATCTCCTTTTCTAGAGCTCTGGTTTGCTGCAACATGTGCCGATGCACTCCAGGGTTCAGTCACTCCTCCACGTAACGCTTCCCATAAAAAGAGAGATGGGGAAAGAAGGCATGCCATATTGAATTCATTTGAGGCACATAGACACATATTTAGCCTCCTCGCAGCTCCATTCATCTGTAGAGCGCTGACAGATGGTTTACGCGGCGGTGCAAAAAGAAAGGAAAATGGCTTTGTCTCTGGAGGTGTAGGTCAGGTTTATAGGCAGAGCTGGGTGAATAATAAGGGTTTTGATCACATGATTGTGATTCCGATGACTTCCATCATATTTTCTTTGTATACCAAAGCATGCCCCCTTGTTTAGCTGCAGGTGTTGTATTTATCTAATTATGATCTGATCAGAATTCAGTTTTCCTCTGTTTTCACTGCAAGGTTATTGGACTTCTTAGATTTGAGTTATTTTACAGTTCAGACCTTCAAATCTGTTGTAGTGACTATTGTATAGAAAGATGAACATTACACCCTTTAGTGCATACAACTGCATTTTCTTATGTCAATGTTTTGGTTTCTGATGACACTTTTGATAGCAAGTTTTCTAATTTAAAGAACAGGAAGATTAGAGCATGAGAGCTTTGTGTTAATTCATATTCCTAAAATCCTATCATTGACAAATCTGGTCCAAGCATGTTACACACCAACAAGCATCGCGTGTACTATTCAATTATTTGTCATTCCATTGCTCCAGTATCTGCAGCAGAGCATGTTCTCAGTTGCATCTTAATGAACACATCTGTGGTGATTAAATCGGTTATTCATGCCTCATTAGCCCATATGGACGTCTATCACTCATGTTAGTCACACTTAGAGTCAACTACCAACTGTCAACAACAACAAGATTAGCAGCATCAGTGGTGTTTGGGTGTGAAACCACCACCAACATTTCTAAAAGCTCTGCAGAATCCGGCACCACACCCACGTCTGCTTTATTAACCTAATGGCAGCAGAAAGCCTCGAGCTGATGCATCTTTTCTCCTCAATGTTACACTTTGACCGCTATGTCAAGATCAATTCAGAGTCGTTATTCCTCATAAAGGGGAACTTATTACCTAAATGAATTATTTATCATCTTTGAAGATGATAATCCAATGTGCGCCCTTGACAAGTGCTTTTGTGCTCATGAAAGGAAAACCAGGAAACAGAACATGGTGATATAAAAGCAGGAAACAGTGATTATTGACTTAAATTGATCAGCCAGATCAGAGAAAATGATCTTCAATGATATATTAATGTGTTGCATTCATGGCAGCATTTGCTGAGCACTCTTTTCTGCATGGTGGACTGGAACTTTTGTCCTTGTCCTGACGGCATGTGGGCAGCCTTGCTACTGTAAATAGATCTATTTATTAAAAGTCTGCTCTGTTTCTGCAGCATATCTCATTATAAGATGGCTGAAAGGACGCTATTCATGACCATAGAGGGTCTCTTTGTTTACCAACATGGCATTAAAATCTTAGTCAACAGGCTCATCTATTGAGCTCGCCATCTAAATTTGTGCACGTGGCTTGTCGTACAGTAGTGGAACATCGTCTTCATCACAAGACGAGCCTACAGATAATACGGCATAATAAAACACTTGCGTTCAGATCAAGTGGAGCTTTCATGCTTTTATTTTGTGGTTTCTCATCTCATCTCATTAAATACTTGCAACTTCTATTTGACTGAAGTCTTCTTCCTCTTTTCTGCTGTGTAATAAATGGAAATGGACTAGCCTCAAATACGTTTCTTGAAAATGATGAAAGCACGATGACAAATAGATTCCAGGTCATTAGAACGATAGATAGGAAGCTGAAGATGAGAGTGGAAAAGACAGCAGGACCCCTGGAAAAAGGGCACGAGGAAACGTCATTGCATTGTAATTATAAGTGATCTATCATGCAAGATCTCAAACATATATGGCCCACAGCTATGTGGGTTGAATATGTGTAGAATATGAAGCTATACAGGCATGTAAGGATCATGAAATCATGCCTCTTAAAGGTACAGTAAGTTTAACGTAACATTTTTTAACATAAAAACCCATAGTTGTGAACTCTGATCCAATGACACAGGCTTTTAAAATGGAGTCTAATAAAGACTTCCGTTCCTCTCACTAATAGGCTTGTTTGTTTCTGGAAATTTGGATGGAAATAGTTTTTTAAGTTAATAACTAAAGGCCTTTAATAATACTTAAGAATTAATTTTTGCCATGCTTTAATTTGCCTGTGTCGATGTAGATCACTTCCTGTGACATCATTCGTAGGACTTTCCCGATTCACATCTGCTTCAGTATTCTGTCAGAGTTGTCCTGCTCTGTAATGGAGGCATCACTGCAATGCAGGGTGCCAGTGGACTGTCAGTCACTGCACAGTGAATAATGCATACAACAAGGGTTGCCCCCTCTTATTCGATAAGTCGACTCGGTTGTTTTGGTCTTAGTCATCTAAGATCTTGTTCGTCAATCAGTCATTCTTTATGCTTTTTTTCAGGCTGAATGACTTATTTCCAAGAAACTTATGAGCACATCTCTGGTAAACACAAGATTCAAAGTGGTGCTTTTGTCTCATCCTTTGTGGAGAAACTCTGTCTTACAGATCTGTTGATAAAATCAACTAATCGATTAGTCGACAAAATCTAAGTGTTGGTCAACTGATAATGTATTTGGTTGAGGCCAGACCTACATACAGCAGTATATACGGAAAAACAGATGTGATACACATATGTGCTCTGTGTCCAGGATGCAGGTTTGAATACTTTCCCAGGAATTCATAATAAATAAGTTAGCAGTATGCCAGAATTAGAATGTGGCTAGTGGTGGGTTTTATGAATGTGCTGTGAGTAAATGATTCAGCAACATATTTCCTTTGATTTTTGCAAAAATATCAGATTATGTTATTCAAATTATGATTTTAGCAACTAAAGCATTATTCAACTTTTAATGATTATGTTTAGGCACTTGCAGCAATTTGTTAAGATTAAGGAAAATTCATAGTTTTGATTTAATACAAAAAATAAATCAGCGGTGACTCGAAGCACGTGACTTCAAGTTTACATGTTATTTAAACCACAATCTTTGACTTGTCTGTGAACGCAACGCAGAATGTTTACATTGCTTTGAATGGAACATGCAGCACATTTCTGACAACTGGAACCTTGATAAACATCAATTATTGTGTATGAAATCACTTCCTCTTTACTAAGACCTGCACTGTATTCAGTGTCCACCATTTATTTGAATGTCTGTTGTGTCTAATTTCTGCTAAGAATCCCATAAAGCACCACATCACATTTTATAAATGCAGAACAGTCATGTGACAGTTACTGATGAAAAAATCTCTCTGTAATGCTTAGTAAAGACTAAACTAATAAGTGTAAATAATTGTTGGTGGATAGTGAATGAAGCGATGGGTTTGTAAGTGAAGGACCATTGACTTCCACTGATGATTAGATTTGTATTTTAGGTCTTAGAAGCCCTGAGAGAAGTCTGCTACTATATAAAGTATATACGTAAGTTGCATTAAAGAATCCCTGCTCAAAGAAGCTAATAATAAAACCTGAGCCCAGACAAGTGTCCAACAACATAATATTTAACATTAACTCAATATCTCATTTAGGGTGGCTCATAAATCATAAAATGCTGTGATGTTCAAGTATGTACACGTATATTGGGTTATACTGTCTGGGTACACACGTTTCCAGATGACGATTTATTGTTTTTTCATTGAGACCAAATATTAGATGTATTTGGATGCTATTGAAACCAGCTAATGTATCAATGGCTCTATTATAAACAAGCCTTCAGCTTCATTGCAGATTTGGACTCCTATCTCTTGTGCTGGTTTTAAAGAAGGACGTTAGCGAGTGTGTTTTGTACAAACTGTGTGTAAATGTTTGCATGTGATATTGATGGCCTCTATACACCCTGTGAATGAGTTCAACATCCTAATATGAGAGCAGCCCATTATTTGACGCCTGCTCCCCTTACATCTTCCCCTCTCCTCCAGCTATTCCAGTCATTGCACTGCATGTTAATTTCTTTCTTCCCAAGGGGGTCTCAGCTCCCCACACTGCAGTGGAAAGCCCCATCTCATTTTGTTTTAAGACAGGGTGGTTCCTCTCATTTGTTTACAGCTAACACAACAACATAATTGTACTGTAATATTGATTTGACACGGTCAAGACCCACTGACTGCACACTTTACATCGCACACAGCTCTGTCCAAATAAGCTGACCTGCAGCGAAATCCCGTCTGGCTGCAGTTCAGCTGCTTGTTAACCGCACAACTTCAGCTGAATGACTCTGAGTTAATGCTCGATAACACAGAAGCTCTGCAGAGAAAGGAAAACTCCTTGGAAAATATCCTGCTGTGGCTTGAATGTCAGAATACATCCCCCTGGTGGTCAAGCGAAGTTAGAGGCAACCTTTCAGTATTTCATTCTCCAGGATGTACCACGTCGGTGCAGAAGGCGGGGGTAGAGCGGAGGTTACCATGGTGCGGGAGTCCATGGAGTGAAATTTGTCTGCCTAATGATGTGAACATACGCTGGCTATATATGCTTACAAAGAAGACACCTGTCACATGCATGTGGAGGCAGAAATGTCTGTGTGTGTGTGTGTGTGCATGCATGAATTCTCTTAATACTCCAACACAACCCACAGTGAAACAGCAGCATGTGTCTGAGTTTTATCTCGACGCACTAAATGTTTTATAACCTTTTGTTCTGCATGACTGACCCACAGACCCTGAGTCCCAGAGGAAGCGGACCGTGCAGAATGTCCTTGACCTCCGCCAGAATTTAGAGGATACAATGTCGAGTCTGCGGGGCTCTCAGCTCAGTCACAGGTAAGTGCACTACATCTGCATTTTTAGGACATTATATTGCCTCATAATGCTGTCTCCCACATCACTGGCTAGTATCACACAAAAAACAATACAGGCAGTGTATGTCTTGCACATGAAATCATAAAACCCTGAGCAATATTCTGTCTTTTGTTTAAACTGGAAAAAAAGAAAACACATGTGAACAAGCAACAGCAAGCTCGTTGGATCGATACATAACACAATCAAGTGTAAACAGTTTGGAGAGTTGCCACCAGGTGCACATCTGGCTTCCATCCTTCTTAAAGAGTCCGTCTCTGTTTCGTGGTCATGACTTCATTCTAAGAATCTCTCTGTTTAGCTCTCATAGGCAAAAGGCCCAGACATGAAATTGTTGCAGCAACAACAACAGCATAAGGCAAAGGTGGAGGACAGATCTTTTCATTTTCATTTGGACATACAAGTTGATATGTAATAGCCTGTGTAGCATGTGTAGCAGATTGTTGTTCCTGCAAGCAGGAACAACAATCTGCTTTTATCTCTTCAAACCTCCATTAAGAGTATTTTTTATATGAACACAGAATCAATTCTGCATCTTTATGAAGCTTTTTTAGCTGTTTAAGCTTACTATTGTATAGGTGAGTCTACTCTGCTCTCATTATCCCCTGTAGGCATCTGTTTCCTGCAAAAGAAAAGTGCTGATTAACCACTTATAAGTTACCTGGCCAACATGAAATGGATGGCAGAGTTACTGATAAGCTGATGAAGAAAGACTGAGACTTTTGCAAACCAAAACCATAGCTACAAGTTCAATAACATCATAAACTTAGAATACAATCATGTTTCTCTCTGTCTGCTGAATGTGTCATTACGCAGTTGTTTGAAAACACATATACAACAACTTTAAAAACTGGTACAAAGGTGGTAATTGTGTATCTGCCATTCTGTTTTGATCTTCTTTGGTCCGAAATGAATGAATAATCAATATCAACTCCGTCAATTATCTTCTCTGTGAAATCTTGCGATTGTACCCTTGCTATTGGCCATACTTTCTCATTGGATGCTTGACGAGACATCTTGAAATCCTCAGCAGTTATAGTTATGTTGTATAATTATCTTCAATCATTCAGATGTCTTTTACAATGAGAGTAAAAATTTGTCTCTCCGTCAGGTTCAGTACTGGAGTGGCACCAGTTAGCCTCTATATTGATGAATTATCCATCAACAATGAACAAAAATACTCCCACAGTCATAGCCATTGCAATATTTATTTGGGTGAGTTGGTACATGCAGTTATGTAATCGGCAGACAAAGAAGACGCTCGCGGCCATCTGGAGGACATTTCTAACCCTGACTCACTTACAGGAGTGATATACTCTCCTCAGAATAATGGAAAGGTGGCTTTAGATACGACAAAGCAAAGTCCTTGGTGTGTGTGAATGTGTTGCTCAAAGAGACAGAGAGAGAGATCCTCTTTGCCATGTTAACATGGGGATATCGGATCGTCCATCTCTTTGTCTGTGGGTTTAAAGAGGCCACATTTCTAGTTTTAGTCCCTGAAGACGACGCGACACAACTGCTGTATCTGGGGCATCGGCGACTCAATGCCACTGTGGGTTTTCTTTGAAGGACAGAGCGAGAAGAACGTTTCACTGGGTGCTCTGGTCGCATTTGTGTCGTGCTGGACAAGAAAATCAGCTAAATGTGTATGACCATAACACACACTGACCTTTCCCCCCCCCCCGTGTGTCGCTCTAGCTGTATGGACAGCAGTAATGTGGGCTACGACAGCGACGAGGCCAACGCTCACAGCATATCCAGCCTGTCCAACCGCTCGTCGCCTCTCTCCTGGCGCCACGGCCAGTCCAGCCCTCGCCTTCAGGCGGGCGATGCCCCGTCCTCCACGGGCGGCGGATACAAGGGGAGTAAGACGACCGGCTCCCAGTACACGGCCCAAACGATGCCGGCTCGCTGCTCCAGTCGCCTCAGTGGCACGTCTCGCATTGAGCTCATCGAAGGGTTGGATGACGCCGACCTCAAGTCCGGTTACCTGAGTGACAGCGACCTTCTAGGAAAGAGCCTTCCGGATGACGACGACAACCTGGGCAACGGGTAAGAGCACCTGAAGATGGGGTTGAAACCTCTTGTTGCCATAACAACAATGAACCTGCATGCTGGTTGGTCCGTTAGGCCTCCACCTTGTGACTTTAAAAAGGTCAGCGAGAAGTTGTTGTGATATTTCGTTGTACTCACGGTAAGCTGATGGGTGTCCTGCTGCAAATGCTTTTCACTGTTGCATTCTGCATTTCCGTATTTTAATTAGGCCTCATAGGGGCTGTGCATTTTAACATTCAACAGTGGTTTCGTGTGACTTTTCATGCCGACATCGTGGCTTTCTGCTTTGTCTTGCTATCTGATGTTTTGCAAAAAGCATCAAAGAGCTTTCATCAGCAGTCTCTGCTTTTCTCTTGCTCTGAAAGGATTTCTCTCAGTGCCCATGACATTCTCAGAGGCTGTTTTTGCTGACAGTGAGAGAAGTTCTTCACTGAGGGGAGGACTTGAACTCATCAGGTGTCCTCTCGGTTACACAGTAAATGCTCCCTCATCTCTGACGGGTGGAAACTGTTCAGCTTCTGAATCTTTGAAGATTTTGTCAACAGGTTAAGAAGCAACAAATGGCTTCAATTAGACAATACTTTCTTTTTTTTCTTAACAGGAATGCTGCCTCCTACAGTTCCTTGTTTTCTCCTTCTTCTTCGCCTGTCTTCTTCACGCTCTGCTAATTGTTGTTGTTCTTTTCCACCGTCCTGACCTTTGTCTTCTTCACGCTCTTCTTCTTCTTTGTCTTTTGTCTTCTTCACACTCTTCTTATATTTTGCCTTCCTCTTCTTCAAGCTCCTCTTGATTTTGTTCTTTTCTTCTTCTTGGCCTTCCTGTGCTTTGTCTTCTTCATACTCTTCTTCTTCTTCTTCTTTTTCTTCTTCTTCGCCGTCCTCTTTGTCTTATTGAAGCTCTTCTGCTTGTTCTTCCTCTGGTTCTCCTTCTTCTTCTTGGCCTTTTTCACCTTCACCCTTGCCTCCTTCCTCTCACATGCCTTGTGTGTCTTTATCTACTTCGCTCTCCCAAGTTGACAGCTGACAGTGAGAGTAAGAGAGAAAGAATCCAGGACAGTCCTCCAGTTTGATTTAGCAGCTTTATCGCTGTTGCACATGCAGTGGGATTTAAAATCAGCCCCTGGAGCGCTCACCAGTCCCTGCTAGCCAGGTCACGTTCTTACTACAGTGAGGACAAGAAAAGAAATGAGACTCATTTAGATGAGTAAAAATTAGAGCAACGAAGAAAAAGTTTGAAATGGGGTCATTTAAAGTTTCGTCAAAATTTGTAGCTGAGGAGAATCAGAATGATATAAGATTGCTACCAAGAATGATTAAAAAAAGAAGCATTGTATTAAATAAAAATGGACGACTAGCTCTGTGTGTTAAGGTTTAGAATTTTTTTTGGAGGGAGGTGAAAAAGATCAGACATCAGAAACCTGATGAGGTTAGGATTAAACAGGGATTATCTCATATGGGTCCATTCCTCACAGTAACATCCGTGCACTCGCAATCCATTTAAATCTGCCCTGCATTTTGTCCCTCGCTGCATCAGCTCTACTGCTTCAAATTGATGTGAGAGGTGAGCACCACAGGCACCAAAGATCCTAATAATTTTACGTCGCCGTGTTTTCAAAAATGCATCATCATGCTCAGCGTTAGGCCTTCCTGTGTTAACAGTCCCGAAACATGCTTTCAAGGAGACAAGCTGTGAGACATCCTGATGGGTACAACCGGCCCCTGCTGTAGATTATTACCATATACACCAAGAGGATTATGGGTGTGTTTGGGAACATACATGGAAATGTTAAAAGAGTTATTACAGGCTATTGTGGCTGCCAAAACACAACAATACATGGAAACACTGGGGGCTGTTTTCTCCCTGACCTTGATTAGGTTGCATGTTTATATTTGGAAGATACAACACTGTGGGAACCCCTCTAAATTGCATGCTTTGGTGGTCTGCGTTTGCATTAGTTTCAGTGGAAAGCATCCCTCCTGCAGGAATACTGGAGAGCTGTTCTCTCTGTCAAGAATTAATCCTCCCTCATACCAACAACCTTTTGGTGCAGATAACTAGTTAATCCGGTTTTTGAAGCAGCCACTTGCTCTAATTTTCTTCCTCGCAGTTCCCTCTTGCAGATTCCGTGTTACATTTGCATTTCTACTGTAAATCCCCTTGTCACACGCTCACACTCCGGCTCATTGAGAGCCATTAGCTGCCAGCTCTTGAAAATAGATCAGGCTCCCCCCCCCCCCCCTGCGTAACCATGGAAACCAGCTGGTAATCGACTGTATGGCGAGGTGCAATTTCTGTTCTCTTACACTTCTGTTCTCTTGCCCCAGTTTTCCCATGTTCATGCATTTCACTGATCTGAAATAAGCCCTAAATATAATGAACTAAATCTGAATGGTAGAGTGAGACCTGTTGACAATCAAGAATGGTTTTCAATATGTAATGCTTGAATCACGTATCAGACCATGTGTGTAACGCTTCAAACAACGTGGAAAGAGACAACCAGCTACTGGTGACATAATAAGACACAATGCATGTTGTTGATGGAACTACAGCACCATGCTCCACGTCTAATGGATATTGATTAACCCACACCAGACAGCACTGGCTATCTAAGGCTAAACGTGTACACACTGACAGTAATCACTGCTGCAGTGTGTCTGCCTTGCCAATAGTCTGATGCCACATACATCTCAATCTCCTCAAGAGCTCCATCTTTCCATCAGAGCTCTACAGCAACACACTGCTTATTAATGATAATCTGGTTTGGCCCAGTTCAGGAAAAAAAGTATTTAAGAAGCCTGTTTTATTCATAATTAATATAGCTTCCTGTTTTGTTTCTGTGAAGCTGGGACTATTCATCTGTAACCAGTTGCTTTCATTACTAGTACAGATGTACAGTAAATAAAACCTTACGTGAAGGTATATGGTCACTTTTTGGACACTAGAGATTGAAAGATCTCAGAGACAACTTACTTGAGCAAATAGTAGCCCAATTGACTGACAAATACAGAACCTCTACGATATCACTGGTCCATAAGGCTGTAGGCTAATAATTGTCCTCTTTCTCATCCAGTAGACACTGTGACGCCATAAATATGAATCGTCACATGACCAACATCAGTCCGATGGTCGCTCTCGTTTTAGCTCTGGTTTGGTCTTCACCAACTCTTGAGAAAAATGTTTAGGACTTCAACTTTCACCACCAACTAGTCACTGGCTTTGTCTGCAGTTTGCTGCAAGGTAGGTAGTGGTTTATAAGAGCTTGTTCCCTAAAAATGTTTGGCTGCTGCTGGAAGTTGTGTATTTCAGAGCGGCTCCTGGAGGTCATAAACAATGAGTATAGAGGCTAATAATCTCTGCTGTGTAGGATGTGACATATCTTAGGGTTTGTCACTACAAGCAACTCCTTTCACCTTACTCACAGTAGTTTGATTCAATGTTTCAAAGATTACCATAGAGTAAAATCACCTCCTTTCTGACACAAAAGTGTTTCACATAGGAAGTATTTATTATAGGACAGTTTCATTATATTGCATTATATACAGCAGTCTTTCAGTACACATCTTCAAACTGCTCTCATGGTAGAAAGAACACATTACTTTTAGTTTAAACTGAAATTGCCAAAGTTGTGTGCAGTGAAAGAACTATACATAATTGCCCTCAGTTGGCACTGTGTCTGCTTGAAATGTTGGGTAACATTTGATATAACAAGAGTTTTATTCTCATTTAACTTAATTGCGTGAGAATGAGCACCACTTCCTCACTGAGCGACTGTTTTCTTTCTCATGAGTGCTGAGGCGGCACCTTATTCAGCCGTGACCACTTCTGACCACGTCAGGAATCATAACTGCTTCCTGTGGTTACATTCTTGAAAACATATTGGCAAAGTTTCACCGTGACTCGTATGATATCATCCATTTAAAACCCTGGTTTATGACTAGAGCCGTAATCAGATTATATTGCTTGTGTATGGTTGGATTTTTCCATATCTGGTAGATAAATTGTGACTACTGTTGAGCATTCAGTGGCATGTTAGTGGTCAGTCAATTATGGTTGATGTTTTACCGGCACTCAGCTGCAGAATATGTAAGCGCAGGTTTGCTTCTCATGTCGAATGCAGATGTTAACCCGGGAAAGTTACTTGTTTTTTCCATAATGTCATTTTAGTTGATGGGATGAATGCAAGCCTAATGTTTGCAGCAGAACATGTGAATTTCACTGGAGGCCCATCTCCCTGAACATGATGATTGTGTCTGACAGATTTACGTTTTATCTTGGAAGATTAACAGTTTAAAAACCCTTAAATTGGACTAGATAATATAATATCTATCAGCATTTGGTTTGGCTCCAAACTCTTTGGCTGACCTAGGAGAGAAGCAACGAAAGGCACTTAGCGGCAGTACAGAGCTATTGATGACTGCAAAGCCTCATAGAAAGCTGAGGTCACGCCTCAATTTTGTTAGTTTTTGTTCCACAAACACATGTTTTCTTTTATCAACCTCTCTTAAAACCTGAAACAGTTTATTGGAACTTTTTCGCTGAAAACAAAAGCGGAACAAAAACATTAAAGTTGTTGGCTGTACAACCCAAAAAAGTAACTGATACATTTACATATACATTTATCTCTCTACCCTGTTATATGACAGACAGACAAACAGACAGATGGATAAATAATTACTTAGATACATTCTGACTTTATTCATTCATTCATTTATTAATTTGTTCATTTCTCGGGATCGGGACCGTTCCATTTTGTGTCTCTATACGGCAGCATACATGTGGAGGCAGCAATGCAGAGCAGATAAAGGAGGCTGGTTCAGCAGCATCACACTTCTGATCATGCGGCAATGTGGGTCGGGATGTGCTGCCATGGCAACCGTCTTCCACTGACCCACTGATGGACTGCCTTGTGTGTCGGTGTGTGATAGCTGCTGAACGGATGTGTGTGTGTACGTGTACTTGTATCAACTGCTGGTTTGTGTGCGATAAAGAGAAAGAGA